TTAGCTAAATATGACATAACTCTGGTTGATCCTATTTGATGATACCGCCCCAAATAAATTAATACTGTGATATTTAATATAACTATTAAAGTTCTTAATTTTATAAACTTTTTACAAACTATAGAAATTTGTTGAGATGTAATAAAGAATATCATTGGAAACAACGGTAGTAGAAATCTTTGTTCTTTATGAGCAACCATACTTAAAACAGACACAGACCAAATTATTGTGACTACCAACTTAGAATCAGTATCATAAAGATTGATGTGACTTATTTTTTTAATCAGACAATAAATTAATATAAAAAATATAGGTCCCAAAACTGGTGGTAATCCACTGACAAAGTACCAATACCAATGTTCCACGGAATAGTGAGCATTGACTTTTTTTATAATATTATAATACAAAAAATTCCACTGTGTAACAACAAAAGAACCATGAAAGTATGTATCCATTGTTATAGAAAAAATAAGAGATGTCAAACCAATACTAATATACTTTATTAGGTTACTTAGAGTGTAACGTTTATGAGTAAAAACATCAAACACAATTAATGGTAGCCACACTATTATTGCTGTTGGACGCATAACACAAACAAAAGCAACTATCCATAAAAATGTGACGTCTTTATTCTTCAATGACCAAGGATAATAATACAAGGCAATTGTTGTCAAGTTGGTTTCCAATGTGTTGACTAAGGTGCGTGTCGAACAATATGCCAAAAATGGATTTGACATATAACAAACTACTGGCCAAAATACATTTGAACATTTAGAGTGTTTTTGTACCCAGGCCACAAAACAAAAATCCGAAATTGTTGAAAAAATTGTTTGTAGAAAGCGTGGACTCCATATTAARAGTTGTAATGAGTCCAGGGAGAAAAATTTTAAAATCTTATAAACCAATACAATCCATGAAATRCATATATAACTTCTTATACCTACAATCCATTCCCAAGTGCGATATCCAAAACCAAAAGTAATATAATGAGCAATTTCCAAAGACTGCCAGTATTCATCTGGGACATACCATGAATGAATTATATATAGATGGAACAATCTTATTGTTAATAATGATGTACTAACAGTTAACAACGTTGAATATTTCATGTTTCAACAATAGAACTTCTTGATTTGTCTTTTTTTTTKATCRTCAATCTGAAAAACACATATGTTATTTATTAATCAATAATTATAACATGAATAAGTTAAAAGCTAGTTTACTTTAATATTATACAGACGTACAACAATCTGTCTTTGAGAAAATGCAAAATAAAATGTAATTATTTCAAAGATTGTTATATTTCAAACAAATATTTGTTTGGCATTAAGTTGGTTAAAATTATGCAATGATAATATGGCATATTAAACCATTAGTATTCAATAGAATAAAACTAYACAGTTTCAAGTATCAGAAATAATAATGAATAATAATCAATTATTGACAATATTTACAATGTTTTTTTTCTCATTCATAATATAATATACCTTTTAWTTATTAATAAAATACCTTCAAGTTTAAGGTATGTYCAACACTCAAATTGTTTATAAATTAAGTGTCTGGTTAAGTTTATTAATATAYCAATTATATAAAAATGTATAGTACTACCTAATACCCTAATTAGAAAATATAACGCAAATACTACATATAAAAAATCAATAATAAATTTAAACTTTTGAGAGAATTAATGAAACTAATATCAGTGATATCTTAGTCCGTGATATTAATATACCTATTATTAGTTATATCACGATTACCCCATTAACTTACTGATAACAATTAGATATTAGTGTAATATTAGATAACTCCAATCAATTTATCATGAACATTACTATCAATTGGCACGTGGTTTTGGAAACAATAATATTCATTAATCATTATTCAATAGACAATATTTATTATTTTACATTGCATCGAGTACAGCCAAAAGAATTACTGAGTTTCATTCAAGTGAGTTTATGCGTTTATCATTGTACTCAGGTYAATCACTATTTATTGTTTATAATGCGTATTTTCATTTGAACGCAGGTTGGAAAAATGGACGAAGAAACATTAATTGGCTTTAATGATATAGCCCCATTAAAACCTGAGGTCAAACAAAAAACTGGAAAAAGATCTGGAGGTTTCCAAGCCATGGGATTGAGTTTTCCTGTACTCAAAGGAGTACTCAAAAGGGGTTACAAAGTTCCCACTCCTATTCAGAGAAAAGTAAGCCGGTACTTAAAACTATGTTGTTTTTGATATTGTTTAATTGTGTTTTTTAAAATTATTTTWCTTTCAGACAATCCCTATTGCTTTGGAAAACCGTGATGTTGTAGCGATGGCTCGAACTGGTAGTGGAAAAACAGCTTGTTTTTTAATACCAATGTTTGAAAAATTGACTCAGCACACAGTAAATGGCCATAGAGGCATACGGGCATTAATTTTATCGCCAACTCGAGAACTTGCTGTTCAGGTATTATTTTATGGAATTATAAATGTTATTTCTTTAAAATATATTATGCTGCTAAGCACTTAACAATCCGACTAAATTCATAATCTTACAAATGTACGAGCAAATGTATGTGTGAATTTTATGTTTAAATGGGCAGGAATAGAAGCCATAAGGTTAACTTGATAGTTTCTGATATTAGCTCAATTATTTAAAATGAGTATAATTTTACTATAGGAACCATTGTTCTATTAAAATTTATACATATTATATAATTAATCAATATTGTCTATTAAATTAATTAATAAATACTTTATTAAATACTAACATTATGCTCTATTGACACAAGTTGAATTAATTCATTAATCTATTTAAAAACCTAATAAATAATGAATTAATATAATATTAAATTTGGCTAAATACCTATTAATATTGTGTCTAAATAAGTTATGTCTTATCTAACTAAGTATTGTAGCCTGTAGAATAATTCTTATGAGTTCAAAATAATATATTTTTGGTATATTGTGTTTGATAGATAAAAAAAACTTAATTTAAGTTATCATTTAGAGAAGTATTGGTTTATACTAATTGTTTTAAGAATATAATTTGATTTCAGACATTGAAGTTTTTAAAAGAAATAGGAAAGTTTACTAATTTGAAATCGGCCGTAATATTAGGAGGTGATCCAATGGAAGCTCAGTTTAGCACAATGCACAGTGCTCCAGATATTATTGTAGCAACTCCTGGACGATTTTTACATTTATGTGTAGAAATGTCTTTAAAGTTGCCATACATTCAATATGTTGTTTTTGATGAAGCAGATAGGTAATTTTTTTTWAATTAAATTGATTAACTTTATTTTAACCAATATAATGTTGTTTTGTAGACTTTTTGAAATGGGTTTTGGTGAACAATTAACAGAAATCATTGCTCGTCTACCAGAGACACGGCAAACATTACTTTTTTCAGCCACTTTGCCAAAAGTTTTAGTTCAGTTTGCTCGAGCTGGTCTTTCTGATCCTGTTCTGATAAGGTTTGATCTTTATGAGTATAATTAAGAAGTGTTACAGTATTACTATTTATTTAATATTTTTAGTGTAATTTTGATGAAAATATAATTTTTTATTCAACCCTTTAACATTTTTACAATAGTTTGTATTTGGTTACATTTATGTTACTCTTGTATATTTAAAATTCTAGATTGGATGTGGAGTCAAAAATACCCGATACACTTGGATTAGGATTTTTGAATGTGCGACCTGAAGAACGAGATGGTGCTTTATTATGTCTCCTGAAGTATGTTGTCAAACCAGATTCTATGACTATCATTTTTGCTCCGACGAAACATCATGTTGATTTTATTCATTTAGTAAGTTCTGAAAATAGTTTAAATATAAATTTTATATCTATTATCTATTGGTTATTTAAAAACCTATGTGGTATATTCTTATAAATAGAAACGCATTTCATATATTAGATTTCATGTCTATGTTTATTTTAGCTTCTAGATTTTCAAGATATACCAAATACATTCATATACTCTGATTTGGACCCAACAGCCAGGAAAATAAATGCTAGTAAATTTCAAACAGGTAGTGTGAAAACTCTCATAACTACTGACATAGCTGCACGTGGTATTGATATTCCACAGTTAGATGTAGTTATCAACTATACATTTCCAGCAAAATCTAAATTGTTTGTGCACAGAGTTGGTAAGTAAACACCAATTAGATACAATGTATATGTTTATTTTTTTATCATACATAACCATTGATTGTTATTATAATTCTTTAGGGCGTTGTGCTCGAGCTGGAAAAGTTGGTCAAGCTTATAGTTTAGTGACACGTGACGAAATGTGTTACTTATTAGATCTACATCTGTTCTTGGGTCGTCCATTTAGCCCTGTACTTGAAACACCAAAGTCTGAAGATGATACTGATGGTCTTTTCGGTATCGTACCTCAGTTGTTGTTGGAAGAAGAACTTGGACAGTTGACAAGTTGGTATACATCATCCATTGATGTGGTAAGTTAAATTTTTTGCATATTTAATCAAAWGACATATTATTTCTTTTATTATATAGATTATAAAATACTTTATGTATTATTCTAGATTAATTCTCTGAAAACTTGTACAAATGGTTATAAAAACTATATCAAGTCTAGGCCCGGAGCATCTGTTGATAGTGTTCGTAGAGCTAAGAAAATTAACTTGACAGTTATTGCAGAGCATCCAATGTTTCAGAAAATAATTGCGGCAGATAAAGGACGTATTGATTTTGTTAGCCGTATTAAAAACTTTCGACCAGAAACTGTAAGTCATTATTTGCAAGTATAGTGCACAATAAAAAGGAATAATTTAAATCAGTTTAAATTCATTCACTACTTTAAAAAAAAAAATTCTTATTTCTAGAATTTTTTTTATTTAAATGATTGTAAAAAATTTTCAAATATCTAAATAATAATATTTCGATGATTTGTTGGCTTGTTCCATTTCATCCATGCATTGTTAATTATCACTGCGACTTGTTTAATATTTAATAGCTTTTTTAAGATAAYAAATAATTTTTTTTGTAATAAAAGCTAAGTAGAACATTTGATATACACAAAAGYGTTAATCAAACAATTTTCAAAKTTAACTTATTCAGTTATTCCCTTTTCCCAACATACCTTCCAAGTATTTTATGCTACTTATTTTTATAAATTATTAGCAAAAAACTTAAAGCTGAATTAAATTTTAACATTTTTAATATTTTAATAGTTTAAACTGGTTAAAGTAATAATATTATGAATGTTATATTATTTTATAGACAGTTTTTGAAATGGGTCAGTCTACAAACTCAATACCATTACTTCAGATGAAATTGTTAAGAGAACGAAATATGCCTAGCGTTATTAACTATCATCGGAAAAAGCGTGAACAACTCGATGATTCTGAAGGGGTGCATTTGAAAAAAGTAAATTTACCATCAAGTGACCAAACTGAGATAAGTGAAACATTTAACGACATTATCACACAAAGACCCCGTGTAACTGGTCAAAAAAAGAGAAAAAAAGTAAAAAACATAAAACAATCAAAACAACCGAAACAAGCAGTGAAATCTGAGCATTTTATACCATACCAACCAGCTGATTGTTACACAGAAGAAGGGTAAGTGAATGAAAAAGTATACATTTTAAAATTATGTCTAACATTTGGTTTTTACACCTTGTATTCTTTCAGTTTGGCCGTTGATAATTTGAAATCGAGTGAAGGAATATTAGATTTGATGGGTGATTCAGAACAGTCACTAGCTAAACAAAATTCAAATAAACGTAAATGGGATCCAGTGAGTCATAAATACGTAACTGCACAAAGTCTTCAAAAAAATCAAGTGAAAAAAATCAAATCTGAATCTGGTCATTGGATACCAATTACATATAAAAGCGATAGGTATGAAAAATGGCAAGAGAAATCAAAATTGAAGAACTCTGCGGCTGAAGGAAATGATGAAGAAGAAGAAAAGAAAATAGCACCTTGTAAGTACAATAGAAAATGTGTTAATAATATTGTAAACCATAATAATTGATTAACCTATCAGTTTAATATCTTACCCATAATTATTGAGATTTCCTGGTGAAGAATGGTCCATAATCTCATTAGAAAACTTTTTAAGGACACTCTGGCTATAGAAATTTATAAAATTCCATTTATTTTTTAWGAATTAATCATGATATAATTTAACACCATTAATTCTGTAAATTTTTCCTTTTGTCTTTTTAGTGTTCCGATTTAAATTAGACACTCGTTGGGGACGTCACAATGCTAAATTGAGAGAAAAACAATCTGAACACCGTCTCAAATTGGATACTAAACACATACTGAAACAGAGAATAATTAAAGATCACCGTAGAAAGAAGAATGGCAGAAAACCCGTTAAAAAAGACAAGATTCGCAAGAAGAGTGCCAAGTTTAATAAAATTTAATTTTGTAAAATCATTGTTGATATATAATTATGTATTATTATAAAAAAAAAATTGAATTTATTTTAAATTATTGTAAACAAATTGTCATTTCAAACCTTCATGATCTGCGGTTATAACTACACTATACATGAATAACTATTTGATGCACAAACAAGATTAACTACTATCTGTATCTAAATAATTAAGTGTGTAGAAATAACTGTAAATTGTTGGTGAAGTGTCTAATATATGTTTTTATTCCAATACAGTTATTTATTACTTTATATTATACATAATAATTAAATATTTTATACAGAGTAAGATGATATCAGACAACTTTTATGACGTAGGAGATGTATCTGTGATGTCTTGTGTGCTGTCTAGATATTGTACCGCTCTATTATAAATCATTATTAAAATAATAAAACTTATAGAGGCAGTGACTGACAAAATATGATGCCAATGTAAAATAGTAAGATCTTTTTGATACAAGTACCTAGGTACTCAGTTTAATTACGCATTATATTTATAAAGTATTAAGTATAAACATTTAATAGTACAAGATTCAACAAATAGTATAATGAGCTTAAAAAGTGTACTAATAATCAATGCATAAATTTAATATAAAATATTAAAAATACAAAATTAATGAAAAATCTAACTAATTATTAACTAATTGCCCTTGAGAGATAGATTAGGTACAAGTCACTAACAAAACTTAAAAAGAACAAAATATCTTGACGATTTGTATACCATGCTTATGTTTTAAAACCTTTTATACAGTAATCAGTTTATTTCACATAATAATAATGCTGTGTTGAAAAAATGATATATTATTGTATACTTAAGCTATATTTATTAATTTTTTTTTTATTTATATTAAGCCTCGGCGTCAAAGGCCATTGGTGTTGGTTTACAATAGKTTACATATATATACAATTATTTACAGGTTATATACTGCTATATTTATTGTACTCATATATTATGTGTATAATTAATTGATATAATTTTTTTAGATTGTAGAATATCTTCGTGAGTTTTTCGGATTGATGTAAAATATGTATGTATTACAATATACATATTATACTATATACTGCACATATTATATGGTATTATAAGTATATATATAATAAAATAAATATTAAATATAAATACACATGTATTATAATCAATGTATAATATATTATACGTTTACTGTATTTGATTGTATGTTAAATAAAATGATTACTGTGCAGTGACGTAATTATGGGAGGGGCGGTGGAGGGTTCCTCTCGGGTTCAATCCTACCCCCGGCCACCCAGAGAACAAAAAAAAAAAATCCCCAATATTTTATGCTACGGGTTTTTTGCTAATTAAACGATATAGATAGGTAGTTGCGTTATTTTGGTATGGGTACGTTTCAAAGTAAGATGAAACGAATAAGATTTATCACAATATGATTTTTTTAAATGTTAAGCCCCTCCCCCAAGAAATTATTGAAAATACGCCACTGTTACTGTGTTATAGCTTTTAAACTATAAGCACAGTATACAATTGTTTTGTAAAAAACTMGGTCCAATATCTTGTTTGGCGGGAAAGAGAAAAGCACATTTTTGGCGGAAAAGGAGCTGATGGTACCTACACTTTTGGACTTTGGGTGTAAACAGACATCACTCRATGGACCTTGTCAATGACGATCCGTTAGTCGTTCATTATTGAATAAGTCGGTTTGTTCATAAGTCATCATAACTACAATATTGTATTATATTGTTTCACCGTTACAATATAAACGTAGGTATAGGTATGTTATTGTTGTAGCTATAATAGCTATATAATACGTACCACTTAAGTACATACATACATATGACATGTACGTATTGTTGTAGCTATAATAGCTATATAATACGTACCACTTAAGTACATACATACATATGTTCATCATGTGCGCAAATCCGTAAATTTTGTTGATAAATAAATWAAACGTCTTAAATTTCACCAACATTCATCAACTTTAGTTACGCATTTCGATAACTTAAATCGTATTTACTGCTCAGTACTCGCCCACTGACGCAGCTCAACAATACKYACATGTCATATGAATTGCCTAAATATTACTCCTTAAAATATGCTATGCCGCCCGGGCCCCTTATTAGGACATTCCGCGCTGTATTAAGATTATATTCTGTACAGCCATGCCTTTCACTCCGACAGTAATTTTGAAAACATTTTTAAATTTATTATGAAGTCTCATTTGAATCTTTCGAMAACGATCGGACTTGGTGTTACACTCTTGCTTGCTACGCAAAAAAAATTAAGGAGAAATGTCGTGAATAATAAATAATATATAATAATAAATAATATCGTACTTAAACAAATTTCAACATACCGAATTSAGTTTCACATCGATAATAATTTTGAAAAYAGATTTTATTTCGTCGTTAAATCAACTGCGTCAAAGCTACATTTTTAATTTATCATTCTTGAAAAGAAAAAAACTAATTTTAAATGTAGAAAAACACCTCGTACTGTTAGAAATTTCAACGGAAAAAAATAGTTTTTAAWTTTGAGTCGAAGATTCAAAATAGAATTCAAATATGTTTTCAAAATCAATATTCGAGTAAAACTCAAGTCACAGAGTCTATCAAGTGATAGAAATTTCCAACCTACCATCAGGTAGATGCGCGTCACTGCAATGGAGTGGAGCCACATCAATTTAATATTACAATTGGATTTTTGCCAGACTTCTGAGTTTTGGTAAGTCCAACGTACCTAATTTTAATTTTACTCTATTTCSCAACAATATTCTGTATAATAACATACTTTTTAAGTTATTTATTAGTTACCTATTGACTATAGTTATATTATTTGACTATAATTTATATGTACCAATGTACCTGTAGTATACATGTATATTACTGTATAGAAMTCGCACGGCCATACCTTGCATGCAACAAGCACGGTTAGATGTCCGATAAAATATATTATATAACAATGCAATAAATAATATAATTATAATTCAAACTAAATATAGTAAATTTAAATAGCAGGGAGTGACTTCAATAATGATCTGTCTAGATCGGTCGATCACTATTTTTATGTCCTCCCGAATTATTTATCATGTCATTATGCTATACTTATAATTACAATTGATTGAGCAAAAATTACTTTCTTCCATTGATAATATATTAAATTTTTTTAATGCACTTGTTAAATTTCTTATCGCACATAATAAATTTTAGGTACTAACTGAACACGGCAGGTACCTTTATATATATATATATATACGTTCAACGTATAATATAATATAAGATGGTATAATTAATGTTTATATACAAAGAAATATAATATAATATTAAACAAGACGTTTTTAATATCGGTTATAAATTTAAAAATATCAAACAAACTTCTATTATAGAAGTGAATAAATTTATATAAAACATTTAAAATTAAATTAAATACGACTCGTTTAAATTCACAAGTTTTTCCATAAACTATATAAAGGACAATAACGGGATTGACAACAACAATATGTCCCGTTCAATAATATTGTCAATTGTCGTCTATATAAATAAATACCTATATATTATACTTAAATACTTAATGATCTATTAACTTCATCCTCAAATGTTTATTGTTAATTTTTTGTCCTGTACAAACAAACAATATTTAAATGGTACAATTATTCATTTAATATATATTTTTTTTACATTGAGGCAGAAGTATATAAGTTAAATTCATTTCATTCATAGTTTTTTTTTTTTTTTTTTGAAATTGGTCTTTCAGATTTTATTTGACTGCGGAATTAAATTATTATTCTTCCTCTTCTTCTTCTTCCTCTTCCTCCTCTTCTTCCTCTTCCTCTTCTTCTTCCTCTTCTTCTTCTTCCTCCTCTTCTTCCTCTTCCACCTGTAACAAATCACAAATGATTAGTAAATAATATTTATCAGACCACGACCAATATTGTGATAAGTATCACGGTAATTTACTTCTTCCTCGGCTTCTTCGTCGTCAAGGCCGAACGGTTCTTCGTCTTCCTCGTTCTTCTTGAGCTCTTCCTCTTCGGGTGTTTCTGGGTCGTCCTTCTTCTTGCCTGGACGTTCGCCGAACCATTTCGGTAACCGTCCTGCGAACACGGCACGAAAGAAGGTTTAATTAACACGAACATATTATTACATTACTGGATTTACACGCTCAAAGCAGAGGAACACAAACGTTTTTTTGGGTTTCGTAAAATGAATGGTTTAGATGGGTAGATAGCTTGGTATAGGTAGGCATATTTGTTCATAATATTAAGTAATTGGATAGTAGGTAATAGGYATAAAAAATGGTAAAAAAAAAGCACTAACAGGTGAGTAATTCTAATAAATTCTCGACTGATCGAAAATAAAGGAAGACATGGAAAATTTCAAGCATAATCTTTTACGAATAGCTAAAATATACAACTTACTAGTAAATATACGCTGCTATATATAGTATAAAAGCATAATCATGTTTTTGAGACGTCAAGAATCTACTGCAATAATATTGTTATGGTTTTACCTTGTCGTTGAAAATGGTAAACAGTAAATGTATATGTTGTGTTTGTTTAAACAAATAACATAGGTTACACACATAACTCAAAAGTTTTTAGAATTATTAATGGATCACACGGATCGTAAAAAAGTGTTTGGCTGAAATTTTCTTGAAAAATCTTTTCAACATAAATACCATCTGACTGATTTATAGCAAGGTAAGTATACAACTGGTTGTATATACAACATATGAGTATGATAATAAAATATAAATTATAATATGCGTATTGCGTATAGTCTGATAAGTAATAACTGTAGATGGAAATATATAATGATTTTGAGAATCACCGAACGTTTTAAACTAGGTAGCTGTAAGTCTTTAGAGTTTAGACAAAATATGGTGAGTAATATACATTTAACAGCGTGGATTATAACCAAAATTAATTAATTACAGTGATTTATTAATACCTAATACTTCTAGAGCGAAATATAAGAATGTGTAACTTTAAAATTTGAATAAACGAAATCGATCGTGTACAATCGACGATGAATTTCCTATGAACAGACTTTATACAAGCCGGTGTATTACTTACCCTTAGCACGGCCGCCGAATTGGTCACTCTTTTCTGTCCATTGTTTTTCCATTGATTCTTTAGTGAATTCCATATAACCCTAAAAAAATTCAAACAAAAAAATAGGAAAAGGTATCGTGCATGCGGGTTTGAAAAATCAAAACATGGATTTTTCTGGAACTATAAATATTATAAAATGTAGTTATTGCATACATCTATAATCGGGTACGATATAAGCTATAGTAGGGAAATGAGATAGGATTAACAGATTTTTCATTATCAACTATGGGCGACTACAATATGGCATAGGGTTTTTGGCCGTGAGGGAAAAGCATGCCGAAAATCGCTACATATTTACGTACTTCTACTTCTTTTCATGAATTGTTCGTATTTACGATTCCAGTTAGACTCGGTCTTTTCGCCTATCATCTCTTCCAGACCCTATTTATTTCGTTAACATCTCTGTATAGATCTCTGTATACGTTTATATAATACGTGCACACTTACTCCTTCGAATAGCTTCTTTTTGTCGTCATAGGACCTTGTGTCCACTCGCCTCTCGTACTTGGAAGCGACTTGGATCTTGGGCTAAGCAACGTATAAAAACATGTTAATCCAACGCCACCAAAATAGTAAGATCAATGAAACGTATATAAAAAATATACACAATCATTATTATGTGTTATGGTTCATACTTACTGGGTATTTGCCGGTTAGGGCTTCAGGGTCAAGACCCTTCTTCAGAGCCTTGTGGCGGAGCTGTTGCTTCTGACGTTCTTTCAACTCTTTCAACTAAAACCCAAGCGTTAATTATTGTGTGAGTCCACATTAGATACCAACACATTACGGCCAGCAATATTCGGAAATTTAAATTTTAAAATATGGTTATATAATACAGTTTTGCATAGGTATTACTTACGTCGTAATCTTGTCTCTTCTGCCTTTCCTCCAAATCGTACTTTTCTGTTTCCAGCTTGATAATCTGGTCCCAGAGTTCAGTGGCTTTGAATTGGAGTTTTTGCACAGAGAAACCTTCAATGTTCAATGGTTTGATTCTGAAGCTCAGCGATATTTTCTTTTCTTCTTCGATCTGTTCTCTGGTCTTGTTGCGTTCAAGTTGGGCAGACGTCATACTCAACGCCTATTAGGAAATAAAAAAAAATAAATTGAATTGAATTACAAATGAAAAAAAGCTACTCGACAACGATTGCATTGAACACTTACACCTTCTTTTTTGCTGATGGTGAAGTTGGGTCCTTTTGATTTATTGGTTTGTTCTTTAAGAGCAGCCATCATAGCTTGACGTTTTTTCTCGGCCTCTTCCAGGCGTTTACGTTTTTCTTCGATGTCCTTCTGTTTCTTTTCTTCCACTTCTCTCTGTCTGCGTTCTTCTTCTTGCTTCTTTCTCTCGGCCATCCTCTTTTCTTCTTCCGCTCGCATCACCTTGCGCTTGGCCTGTTTTTCCTTCAACTTCTTTAAGTCGTCTTCTTCCTTTGACCGTTGTTTGCGCCATTCTTGAATGTACTCTTTAAGCTGTTCGTCTAAGGCTGAGGATTTTAATTCTTGCCTCTGATTAAATTCAAAAATCAATGATCAATTGCAAAAATAATTGATCACAACTAAGTGTGATGTATATATTTAGGTAATTATAAAATATTAACAGAAAATAGATCAATTACCTTAACGAATTCGGGATCTCCATCTCCACTAAAATTTGCAAAAAAAAAAGGTAAAAAAAAAAATATATATATTAATTTCGATATCAATACATTGTTTTTTATGGGTTGATGACACCGTGATGTTATTTGCCCTGCGGGGGGCTTGTTATTTATAATGCGTGATTAATAAATGGGTCATTTGAATTTTGGCACCAGTTAACTGTAACAAGATATATTGTCAGAATAAAAATAATTTTTAGTAACGATGCCATGTGGCCTATCGCCAGGCAAATAAATAAATAGTAGACACGCAAAATTTATTGTTAAAAAAAATTTGCACACAAAATCAGTTTTATGTATGTTTATACTTCAAAAAAAATTTTTTAATTAGTTAAGAAAAACTTTATTTTTTAATCGTTTTACATCTAAATATACAAAACCTCTTAATATTATTATAGCTAATATTTTAGAATAAACATCTAAATTTCTAATTTGCAATTAACTAATAAAGTTAATACCAGTCTGTCTACATTCTAATTTGTCTACTAAAACAATACTGCATAAACTAAAGGCTTATTGTATGGATTGTCTGCACTAAGCCTTTTCTAYTTTCTACTTTAGAATCAACTTAGTACATATATTTTACTTTAACTCCCACTGCAGTAAACTTACTCTTTGCTTTTTTCAGGCTCCGGTTGCCTGCGCCAAAAATTGACGATTTAGAAAAATTCCAAAAATATCACAAACATATAGAGTGTACAGACGTCGATTTGTTTTGATAATTTTTACTTTCTTTCAGTACAWTATACAACTAGTATTATTAATTTATGAACTTCTAAATACTTCTAAATAATAATATAGTCTAAGTGAAACATACCAAGTATTCAAAATGTTGTAGAGTTTTTATGCTATTATTATCATAGTAATATGTAGGTAGATATATTTATAATAAAATGTAAAAAGAATTTCTGACACATTACGTTGTACACTCTATTAATAAGGAATAAGCCAAATAAACAATTCGGGTGCTCAATACACAAAATCATTTGGCTTATAACGTATTTACAATTTTGAAAAGCGCGTAAAAATAAGCAAGTTGAAGCTATGAAATAAAATCAAGTGACTGAAAATCAAAATTAAAATCACTGCAAGTGAATTCCTTGGCAAAAATGTATTAATAATTCGTTAAAACCGCTATAAATTTTAAGTTCATGTCACCGAGTTCATTTCTAGTCCTACATTCATATATATATACAATGCATTTGAAATTATTTTTCCAGACTCTWTACTCCCTACAGACATTTTTTTTTGTATCTCCAAAATTTCCCTTTTACTCGCTAATCCTTTTCAAATGCTTTTGCAGWAGCAATTTATAAGCGTAAAAAATAATTTAATATTTTGAAACTTACGTTTCCTCTTCGGAATCACTGAAACACAATATTATTATATTCAATGCACATTTTATAAAATTAATATAATATGTACCTAAACACATTGATGAATGTCAAAAATATTAAAATGTCTATATCTAGACCGGTTATATATTCTATCAGTTCTGACCCGAAGTCCCGAAATATTCAAAAGTAAAATTTATAAAAAAGTTTCGAAAACGTCCGTAATTATAACTTGTTTGATCGTAACCAAAGATTAATTTGAAATTTTGAAGTATGTTCACAAGAAGAATTTTATTAATTTGTCTAGTGAAAAGTAGTTAGGTACTCAGAGATTATAATTTTTTAAAGTTATTTTTCACATGCAAGTAGATAAAAATATATTATATAA